GAACCAATTGAGATTTTCAAGAACGGTTTCCTTCATTGAAAAGAACGTACTTTCCTCTATAAATATGGAATATTTCATCAATATATCTTAAGAATACGATTTTTCGCGATTTTTTAAACAAGGTGACGAAAAATTAGATTAATTATAAAAATGGTCGTTTCTTCAAATCTTGTTATCTCAAGAACCTGTTGAGATTTTCTAGAACGGTTTTCTTCATTAAAAAGAACGTTCTTTCCTCTATAAATATGGAATATTTCATCAATATATCTTAAGAATACGATTTTTCGCGATTTTTTAAACAAGGTGACGAAAAATTAGATTAATTATAAAAATGGTCGTTTCTTCAAATCTTGTTATCTCAAGAACCTGTTGAGATTTTCTAGAACGGTTTTCTTCATTAAAAAGAACGTTCTTTCCTCTATAAATATGGAATATTTCATCAATATATCTTAAGAATACGATTTTTCGCGATTTTTTAAACAAGGTGGCGAAAAATTAGATTAATTATAAAAATGGTCGTTTCTTCAAATCTTGTTATCTCAAGAACCTGTTGAGATTTTCTAGAACGGTTTCCTTCATTANGTTTTAGTTCAGTAGAAAATATTCAACAATCTAACACTGAATAATAATTAAAACTAGAACTAACACTAGACTTAGAACTAGAAAGTTTGGGGTTTAGCCGTGCGTCTGAGGACGGTTTAGCCATCTTTAGAGACGTGTGGCTAAACCCAAATGATTCTAGTTCTAGGCATAGTGTGTTAGTTCTACATACTAACATTGTTAACTGATTAATACAATTGATTAGTATGTCTTAATCGTATTTTATACGTTATTTCCGAAATCCATTACATCGAAATTTCCTGTATTACTTAAAAACGTTTTAAACTCAATCATTTCTAAGTTGTCATTTTTTATAACTTAAAGGAGAACTTATTTTTTATTATTTTCCGCTTTAACTGGTCGGACCATGGTGACGCTTCTAAATTTAACTTTTTAAACGGGGGCCACGCCGCTGAGAGTAAACAACCGGTACATGTTCTCGATCACGTATAGAGCAATTATTTCGTTTTGTATTTGTAGAGAGAGACCTTCAATTCACTTCTATTCATGTTTTTTTTTCTCGCATTATTTATTAACCTAAATTTAAAGATACAACCATTAAAGATTTAAAGATTTTAACATTCACCCCTTCTCAATAATAAAAAAAATTCATTCCATCAGAATAACGATACAGCTGGTCACGAAATGTTTCTGCATAATAAAGATTAAAGGGGTGTTTTGAACCCCCCCATAGGTAGGGCTTCCCGTTATTTCTGTTTAACGTTGGGGTTGATTCAACGTGAATAAAATAAAATGTTAGAATGTTAACGTTTCTTTTTGAATAAAAAATGAATCGCGATTAATGTTTAAACTAGCACTACCACGTACAACGACCAACAACCCAACCGACTTTCTATTCGATTAATATGCCGTTATCAGTTCTAGAAGCTAATGGCCGGGACTGTATAGGAAATTATCTAACGAAGACGACGATGGCTACTGTATAATTATTATTGAGCGTGCCAGAATCACGGCCTTCTGTTAGCGCTTACAAATTTCGTTTTATCTTTTTTGTTTTTATCAATTAAACTTACAACGTCTTATTAAAATATCAACTTTTAATATAATTATAAAGATTTCTCAAATTACTTTCTTATTTTTACTTTCTCATAAAATTTTTGTAATTGTTCAAAAATAGGAAGAAAATATCGGGAAGCATATTGAAGAAAATTAGACTTTGGTTTCATATTGAGCAAGTCAAAGTTGCGAAAGAACTGGACGCTGTTGAGATATGAAGGTGTGAGTTTATCAATTACCAGACTCATGAAAGAGGTGCCAACGGGAAGAATGATGAGAATTACAGAGAATATGATTAATACTGGAAAATGATGCGTTGGGTTGAGCATTTTCTTGTGAGCGGTAAAGCAGCAGGGATCTTATAATTTGAGTTGTAGGGCGATATAAAGGAGATTGATCTCTATTAAAATATACAGGCTTCCTAAATTATTTCAAAGATAGTGTTGAAATCAAGCTTAGAGATTCGTATTGACACCGAGGTTGAGGACCTTGTTTAATATGCGAATAATATGCTTCTCTTGGTGAGTGGCAAAGTTGGAAGATACTTCGTGGAGCATCTAAAATATGTGGAAGGGAAATTGATAGACATTCGGAGAATATTGAGCAAGGTCATAAGGAAGCAACTACTTCTGCCAAAAATTGATATCAATTATAAGAGTACTTATATTGCAATTGGGCAATAGAGATTTAGTGATTGTTAAAAACTACTTAAGATACTCTGGGTTGGAATGTTATGCTATCGGATTGAGGAAGGCAGAGAAGAAGAGAATTAAGGCATAGATTTGTACATATAGTTTTGGAGATTGATTGAGGGTTCACATTTTTGTAATCCTTAATAGCTTAATTACTGCTTTAGTTGTTTAACCCTTTTTAGGGCAGAGGTGATATTTTTACCACCATAATTTTTTTAAGTTTTTTATAAGAAAATAATCAAATTTAATTTTCTTTTGTAAGTTGGCAACTTATTTAGTGATCTGTCAATAATATGACGTGAAGAAATGCATAACTGTCATAACATTGTTTTTTTGCTGTCACCTGTTAAATGTTCAAAAATAGTGTTTTTTCGTACCAAATTTTGTATAACGGTCTATTTTGTAGATCTTCGAGATTTTGAGGTAAGTTTTATTATTTACATGTTATATTGGATTTGTCCTAAGTATTTTGACACATATTTTTATCTTTGGGTATCCTGGTTTTTCAAATAAATTGCTTTTTGTGGTGGGAAGCATATTCCCTCTGCCTGCGAGTGGCTGCTATATTTTTTGCTTTGCTTTGGCAGATGAGTGCAAAAAGTGGCTTAGACAAAGGTTTATCAGAATTCGAAATAGAGCATGCGCTTGAAGAGCTTTTTGGGTTGCCTGATGATCCAGAAGTGTCTGACGATAACCTGGAAACCGAAGAGGAAGAAGCTCCGTACAGCACCGCTCGGCTTCAAAAAATACTGGAAAATCCCGATGATCCGTCAATCGTCTCCACAATCATCAGAAATTATGGATACTGAAGCCATTCCACCAGCTGATTTACAAAGTGAAGACCTGTCCGTGTATGTAAGTCAACAAATTGAAAATAGTAGCTCAATTACTGTAAGGCCTTCTGATCTCGAAGAAGAGACATGGAAAAAAACATATTGGACTTCTCGGCCCGTTGCTGAAGATTTTGACAAGATTCCTTTGACTACTAAGCAAAGCTTCAATCCTAAAACTAGGCCCATCCGCTTTTTTGAAAAGTTTTTTACAAATGAAGCTATAGAACTTATTGTGTCGCAAACAAACTTATATGCCGACCAAATGAAAATAAAAGAGTGGACGCCCGTGACTACTGATGAAATAAAAGCGTTTTTAGGCATTCTCATAATAATGGCCTATGATAGACCTGTATTGGTCGTCTGATCCAGCTTTTCGAGAAAATGACATAGCAGAAATAATGCCAGTAAAAAGGTTCAAGAAAATTATGCGCAGCCTACACTTGAATGATAACGCGCGATAACCTGAAAGAAATAGTCCCGAATACGATAGGTTGTTCAAACTGAGGCCATTGATAAATATTATTAACGAATCCTGTAAAAATAATGTCAATTTATCTAGTTCACAGAGTATTGATGAGTCAATGGTACTCTTCAAAGGACGGTCTTCGCTAAAGCAATANTAATTCCCCGCATCTAAAGGTAAATTTATTTTTTTGTTCAGAAATTATTTTAATTAATTTAAGGAATCATCATGTCGCTTAAAAATCGACAATTTCTTTTTAATCGGTGGGCAAAGTGTAAAATTTACTGAAAAATCACTTTAATGTTTCGACATGACGTCACTACTACCGTGCTAACCAAATGTTTTCGCAGCACATTTGGTTAAAACGCCCCCTCTTTAAGTTATTGGTTCCTGAGTGCTAGATACTGTTGGCAAAAGACTAATTATTGCTATCAGAAGATTAAATACTGCTAGTAAAAGACTAAAAACTGCTTGGAAAGAGAAAATATTATTTCAAAAAGTTACCTACTGCTTCTAACACGCTTAACCTTTTTTAGGGCAGAGGTGATATTTTTACCACCATAATTTTTTTAAATTTTTTATAAGAAAATAATCAAATTTAATTTTCTTTTGTAAGTTGGCAACTTATTTAGTGATCTGTCAATAATATGACGTGAAGAAATGCATAACTGTCATAACATTGTTTTTTTGCTGTCACCTGTTGAATGTTCAAAAATAGTGTTTTTTCGTACCAAATTTTGTATAACGGTCTATTTTGTAGATCTTCGAGATTTTGAGGTAAGTTTTATTATTTACATGTTATATTGGATTTGTCCTAAGTATTTTGACACATATTTTTATCTTTGGGTATCCTGGTTTTTCAAATAAATTGCTTTTTGTGGTGGGAAGCATATTCCCTCTGCCTGCGAGTGGCTGCTATATTTTTTGCTTTGCTTTGGCAGATGAGTGCAAAAAGTGGCTTAGACAAAGGTTTATCAGAATTCGAAATAGAGCATGCGCTTGAAGAGCTTTTTGGGTTGCCTGATGACCCAGAAGTGTCTGACGATAACCTGGAAGCCGAAGAGGAAGAAGCTCCGTACAGCACCGCTCGGCTTCAAAAAATACTGGAAAATCCCGATGATCCGTCAATGTCTCCGCACCTCCTGCATAATCAGACCAGCCTACAATCATCAGAAATTATGGATACTGAAGCCATTCCACCAGCTGATTTACAAAGTGAAGACCTGTCCGTGTATGTAAGTCAACAAATTGAAAATAGTAGCTCAATTACTGTAAGGCCGGCTAGGCGGTTGACGCGATCTCGATATTCAACTTCCGAACTCAGTACCTCACCTGACGACACTGATGATTCTGATCTCGAAGAAGAGACATGGAAAAAAACATATTGGACTTCTCGGCCCGTTGCTGAAGATTTTGACAAGATTCCTTTGACTACTAAGCAAAGCTTCAATCCTAAAACTAGGCCCATCCGCTTTTTTGAAAAGTTTTTTACAAATGAAGCTATAGAACTTATTGTGTCGCAAACAAACTTATATGCCGACCAAATGAAAATAAAAGAGTGGACGCCCGTGACTACTGATGAAATAAAAGCCTTTTTAGGCATTCTCATAATAATGGGCTATAAAGTTCTGCCCATGATAGACCTGTATTGGTCGTCTGATCCAGGTTTTCGAGAAAATGACATAGCAGAAATAATGCCAGTAAAAAGGTTCAAGAAAATTATGCGCAGCCTACACTTGAATGATAACGCGCGACAACCTGAAAGAAATAGTCCCGAATACGATAGGTTGTTCAAACTGAGGCCATTGATAAATATTATTAACGAATCCTGTAAAAATAATGTCAATTTATCTAGTTCACAGAGTATTGATGAGTCAATGGTACTCTTCAAAGGACGGTCTTCGCTAAAGCAATACCTACCTCTCAAGCCCATCAAACGGGGATACAAAATTTGGTGTAGATGCGACAGTGAGACAGGATATTTGTATGAATTTAGTATTTATACTGGGAAAACGGATGGAGTGGAAAAAGGGCTGGGAGCAAAAGTCGTGAAGAACTTGACGCAACATTTAATTGATAACAATATAAAGAATGTTCACGTTACATTTGACAACTTCTTCACAGATAACAAACTTTTAGAATATTTGTATGAACATAACATATATGCAACTGGCACCGTGCGTAGGCACAGAGAAGGATTACCTCAACTTACAAAAGGTCCAAACGCTAGAAAACTAAAGCTATCTAAGGGTGAATTTAAATGGCGTGTGAAGGACAATGTTGCTTTTATAATTTGGCAGGATAATAAGGAGGTACTACTTTTGAGCAGTGCGTTCCATCCAAAAGTCGGAGTTTGTACTACTTTGAGGACTCAGAAAGACGGCAGTAAAGTGCCAATTCGCTGCCCTTTAGCCATTAAGCAGTATACTAAGCGAATGGGAGGCGTGGATAAATTCGACCAGATCAAAACCACATACACAGTTGGAAGAAGAAGCAAACGATGGTGGCTTCGCCTTTTTTACTTTCTCCTTGATGCTAGCATCATTAACGCTTTTATTATGAGCAAGATAAGTAAAGTAAATCTGACGCATTTGGAGTTTCGCGTAGCCCTAGCTCGAGGGCTTATTGGTGTATACTCCAGTCGAAAAAGACGATCCCACCTACGTGATCAGAAAAAAGTTGATACAGGCCGACACTCGCCAGAAAGCCATTCATGTGGTTGCTGATGAAGTACGATTCTCGAATGTTGGAGATCATTTACCTTGTCCGTCGGAGACATATAAACGATGCAGACTTTGCAGTACGAAAACAAACGATAAACGCACTAAAATAATGTGCGAAAGATGTGCAGTACCTCTCTGCGTTGTCCCTTGCTTTACTGCATTTCACAGGCAGTAGGTAATTATTATTAATCAATATAATAATCAAGGATAAGCTATGTGTGTAATATATATATAATATATATATATGCGAATAAATATGTTTTTTTTGTAAGTACTTTAGTTATTACTATGGAGGTAGTTGCACAGGCAAAGGGAATATAATTCCCACCATAGAAATAATAATAATAATAATAAAATATATGTATATTTTGGTTTCTTATCTTATAATGTAACTAAATCCAGGATTAGTTTTAAATTATCGCCTTTAAATCATTATACCCTATAAAGGGTTAAAAGGCTAGATACTGTTTTCAAAATAATACCTATTGCTTCCAGAACGCAAAATAAACACTGCTGTTCCAAGACTACTTATTGCTTTCAAAGACTTTAATAATTGTTTGGAAAAGCGATATGCTTTCCAAAAAGCTACCTACTGCTTCCAAAATGTTAGATACTGCTGGAAAAGACTAACAACTGGTTGGAAAAAAGTGATATGCTTCCCAAAAAGCTACCTAATGTAGCCATAATGCTAAATACTACTGGAAAAGACTAATAACTACTTAGAAAGTAGAGATATGTTCTCCAAAAAAGGTAGATACTAAAAAAATTGGTCTATATCGAATAATAAAAAGCGTATTATCTTGAAAACGATCAACTTTAGCGCATTTTGATAAGAGTACCTTTTTTGCTTAAAAAGTATACTGTCAGAAAAGTTATTGTTCTTTTAATCCGTAAAGAATACGTTACGGAACGCCCTCTATCGGCTATAGTAAAACGGACTCCATAATCGTCTTTGTCATGCCAAAAAACCTCCGTATATCAAATTTGAATAGAATCGGTTGAAATACACGTGTAATATTAAATAAAAATCAATTAAAAAATTTAACTTAAACACCCTGTATCTTCAAAACAAATCGTTTGTCGACCTACAGGGTGTACAAAAAATATGGAATAATGGTTCTACAGCCTAAACTTCAACTTATATTAAAAAAAGTTTTAAATAAAAGTTACTTGAAACTATTTAAACTAAGTGATGACATTTCAAATGACATTTTTTGGCGATTGTTTGGAGTCAGTATAAGCTCCGCCCACTTCTGTGACGTCAGACTTAGGCAGTCTATAGACAACCTAAGCATTGACTATTGAAAAATTGCATATAGGGATTTTTCGTTAGCAACGAAGATGTTTGGAGTCGGTATAAGCTCCGCCCATCCCTATGACGTCAAGGTTTAGGTTGTCTTTTCCATAATTTGGTTGTCACTACGTCAAATCTTTTTAAATAAAAGTTTCAATATCTCGAAAACTATGTAGTTTAAAGCATTAAAACCTTATGGCATTTTGCAACATCTTGTAAAAAAAACCAAAAACCTTAAAATATACAGGGTGTTCCATTTAAAAAACACTCACCATGTCGTAACTCAGACTGCCGTCATCATTTATATTTTATTTCTACGCCAAGATATGCGGAAAATAGTTTCAAGTAACTTTTATTTAAAACTTTTTTTAATATAAGTTGAAGTTTAGGCTGTAGAACCATTATTCCATACTTTTTTGTACACCCTGTATGTTTATATGAAGTTTTTGTGCTAATTTTAAAAGATCTATCGATTGTTAAAGTCCTGCTACGAAAATTTGAAACACCCTGTATACTGCTGCCAAAACACTATTATTTACTTTCAGAATGCTAAATATTGTTGGCAAAAACTATTTAATGCTTTCAGAAGACTATATACTGCTGCCAAAACATTATTACTAAGTGCTTGGAGATTACAATACTACTGGCTGATACTATTCTTCTATTGAGTGATATCTTTCTGTGTCCCTTCCATTACAGATTTAAAAATTGCTGCTACAACACTCGATTCTTTGTCACCCAGATGCGACATATCTTTTTACAGGACAGTAAAAACCCCCATCTTTAAACGTTACATTCGGATCTACCTAATTTACTGACTTATTTCAGAATTTTGTGTAGTAATTCCACTTTGAGTTAGGTTAATTAACATTTAAACTAGTGCGAATTTCACAAATATTGGGTTGGGTACGGAGCACAGGGTGCGATACTTTCTAGTTCTAGGTTTATTTTTATTGAAAGAAACCTAAAAGTAACACTAGACCTGGAAAGTATATGGTTAGATACTGTTGGCAAGACTAATTATTGCTATCAAATGATTGAATACTGCTAGTAAAACACTACAAACTGCTTCTAACATACTAGATACTGCCGAAAAAGACCACAACCTACTTAGAAAAGACTAGATACTGGTTTCAAAATAATATCTATTGCTTCCAGAACGCTAAATACTGCTGTTAAAGGTTTCGACCTGCTTGGACAGGCGGAATACTGCTTCCAAGACTACTTATGGCTTTCAAAGACTTTAATAATTGTTTGGAAAAGAGATATGCTTTCCAAAAAGCTACCTACTGCTTCTAGAATGTTAGATACTGTTATCAAAAACTAATAACTGTTTGGAAAGAAAAGATATGCTTCCCAAAAAGCTACCTAATGCTGCCATAATGCTAAATACTACTGGAAAAGACTAATAACTACTTGGAAAGTAGAGATATGCTCTCTAAAAAAGGTACCTACTACTTCCAAAATGCTAGATATTAGTGGAAAAGATTACAATCTGCTTGGAGAAGACTAAATCCTGCTGGAAGAAACTATTATCTGCTTGGAAAAACAAGATACTGTTTCTAAAAGACTATTAACTACTTTCAGAATGTTAAATATTGTATAATAATAATAAAAAGCTAGATATTGCTGGTGAAGATTATTTAATGCTTTCAGAAGACTATATACTGTTGCCAAAACACTACTAAGTGCATAGAGATTACAATATAGCAGACGGTGGGTTGTAAATTATCAGCGAGTTATTAATGTAATCTCAGTCTAAAGACGTACGGCTAAGAAAAAAACTTTCAGGTGTCAATGTCAGCTTTAATTTTATTGTTATATTCGTAATCTTTATAAAATAACCTTTAAAATGAGTCCAAACATGACGCACTTATCTCAAAAGACAAAAAAGTTAGAATAAAAAACATTAAACCCGAAGTTAGCAACAATGAAGATTTAATTTTTAAATATTAATACCAACCTTAATTCTTTGTTTTTTTTTTATTATGTTTGTTTTTGTGAAAAATATGAAGACATTTTATAAAAATTAAGAATATGTCAAAATGACGTTCACATTTCCAACCGGAAGTTGCTTATATCTTGAGAAATATTGGAATTAAACGTATCATGTTTGGACTCATTTTAAAGGATTTTTCACGGCGTTTACAAATATGTCAAAATTGACGTTGACATTCTTAACCGGAAGTTGACCATAACTTCATTAATATTGAAGATAAATATGTCGTGTTTGTACTCATTTTAAAGAATTTTTAATGAAGATTACAAATATGTCAAAATTGAGGTTGACATTTTAAACCTGAAGTTAGTTATCATATAATAGACAAATGGACATTTTAAACCGGAAGTTGCTTATATCTCGAGAAATATTGGAATTAAACGTATCAGGTTTGGATAATTATAATGAGAATCCATTTGACCAGTTGTTTAATTTGTGAAAAGGTAATTAACCCTTCGTATGTAAACGGTTTTTTAGCACCTTGCGTCTGTAAAGGTGGGTCTTTCGGAATTCATGATAATGTTCGAAATCTTCAACTTGATAAATCAATCATAAAATTGTCGAAAAATTTATTTTTGCATACAAGTTTTTTTTATTAAATTATTTGCCTAAATAGTTGTAGGTCGGACAGGAAATACCCAGGTTTACAGAGGAAGGGTTAAATTTAATTTTCTCAGTATTGTACTTTTGAAACTGGTTTTATTAATTAATTAATTCTTACTAGTTTCGGCCCATGGCCATCCTCAGAGACTCACAAACAGGTCATATCGCAAAGTATTAAGTTCATAAATGTAATGGTTTAAATAAAATTCTTTTAAGTTTAAGACGAAATAACAAGCTCTTAAAAAATTAGGGAGCCCTAATTTTGAAAAACTGATAACGGAATCCAACAACCGACATTATTTGACATATTTTGGTAAAAACCGCGTTGAAATTCGCCAGGTTATTTTCGAAATAACCTACTAAACCGCGAAACTATATGGAATATCGAAAAAATAAAATATGCCCCACATTAAGAACACATCGGTTTACCACCAATTCAAATTTGAAATATTTTAGTCAAATACTTTTGGAGAAAAAAAATCGCAAAAGAAGACAAAATTGCTGGCACTCTCAAAAATCGGGTACTTTTTTCACTTAACTTGTGAAGGATCTTGTCAAAAATTATCAGCAAATTTATACGCTTGAGGTCTATAATCTTTCAAACACTAGTGTGCGTAGCCACGTGTTTAGTAAACTAAACTGCAAGTTTAGGGAAAACCACAAATACTGTCGTGGCTGCTACAAAAAGAAGCAGGATGGAATCATTCCTAAGTCTCAGGTGAAAAAGGTGACGACATATTGCACTCAGTGCAAGAAACAGCCAAGATATTGTTTGGAATGTTTTAATACAGTGACATGATTATTAACTGGACTGAGCGTTCCGCATAGTTCCCGTGTAAAAGAGTGATGTCAATGGGTTAGGCAACCAACAGTGACCATTGTAGGCAAAAGCGTAGTTAATGCTATTGCGGGGCTGATAAAATAATTTTTTTAATAATATTTTAATAATAACATTTTAATAATGTCATTTTAGATATACACATGAAGCAACTTGCTCATACTTGTCTTATTATGCTATTTTAGTAAGAGCAATGTTGGTTGCATACCCTACTGGCATCACTTTATTCTGCGAAAACGTTGATAACCATGTCACTTGTTTTAATATTGTTCATAAGGAGAAATAAGGTTAACCTTCTTTTGTATTGGTAAAAAATAAAGTTTTGAGTAAACAAAAGGGAAATATTCTCTATATAGCCAGCCTTGGGGGCCACAGCAGACACTCACAAATGTTATTTCTCATAAAAGTGTGTCTACTTGGCTGAGGCACGAGTAAAATGCATGGCTAACATTACTTCTGACGTCACATCAAAACTTTAATGTGATTTTTTGGTATATTCTACACTTTTTTGCACTTTCTTTTTATTTTTAACGTGCTTTTTTATGCAACCACATGATGATTCTTTAATTTTTCCTAATTTAATTACCTTTTGTGGTTTTAAGTTGCAAAGTAACACAACGAATCTATTTTCCAAATCTTCTTTAGGAATCTGTTGCACCAATCCAGAACAAACAGTCCTTGGTTTATCCTCCCCGCAATTAATTTTTAAAACATACAAAGTATCAGCATCGGGATGTTTTTGAACATCCTCAATTTTTGCAATACGCAAATCTAAACGACCTACATCAACAGGAAGTTCAGGGGCAACAGGAAGTTTCGGTTTGGTTTCTTTCGGTGCTTTTTTTTCTTTCTTTGGTACATCACCCTTATCTTTTTTCTCCTCTACTTTTTGAGTTTCATTAGCAACTTTTTGAGTTTCATTAGAACACGCAACGTTTCGCTTTGGAACAGCAATTTGAGGAACTCCGTTCTTTTTTTCTGCAATTATCAATTTCATGCGAGCGTTTTCGATCATTTCTTTTAATCGACGATTTTCATCGCGTAAGTGATCGCAGAAAGCGTCGTTGTAGGTTTGGGTTACAACATCAAGCTAAAGAAAATCGTTTTAGGTGTATATTTGAACGATTTTTTCGATTTTTACATACCTCTTTTTGTACTTCAACAATAGTATTTTGTATAGCGGTTGCTTTATCTTGTAGGGCCACCCAACTAACTGGTTCGGTCATTTTTAATAAACGCCTCAAAAGCGGTGAAAAAATTAGAGAAAATCGGTTTGTTAACATACAGATTAAACTTGTCAATTATAGAAGTAAGGTTAGGTTCGATTATGTCAAAATGTGGTTTGTTGCGACATCTATCGGAAAAGCGAAATTAATATTTTTTTAATGCAATTTTAAATTAAATTTACTTATTTTTTTTAAATATAAATTAATGATTCGAAATTATGTGGTTAATTAAATTAATTTGTTATTATAAAGATAAGATATGCTTTTAGATTTATAGTTATCTAAGTTATCTTGTCAATTTTTTTTTGACATATTCAAAATATGAAAAGTAAGGTTATATTTTCATACAAATAAAATAAAAATAATCTTTTTATCCTTTTATCTATCAAATAATCACTTTAATCTATCAAAAATATTGACACAACTCGATATTGAAACCCCACACTATAGCTAATCAATGTAATGAAACCGATTAGTATTATAGATTAGGATTAAGATAGGTTTTGTTATAATTAATAAAACCTGATTAATTAGAACACATAAAAACAAGAATTGCATCCTAATCAATGAAATTCATTGAAAGAGTTTTAATAAAATCAATCACTTTTTTAGGTGCCGAATCCGATTCTAACTTTTGAGACCACGGATCTGAATAGTTTGTTGCTGATGCAGCCTAATCACTCATAAAGGTTCTTCATCCAGGAGTTACGTCTTCTTCCTATGGACCTCTTTCTCAGAATTTTTCCTGCAATACTAGACCGAGAACTAGAAACATTCGGGTTTAGCCGCACGTCTCTCAAGACGGCTAAACCCGAATGATTCTAGTTCTAGGTCTTGTGTTAGTTCCAGTGATAGTGCTAGTGTAAAACTAGAACTAACACAAGAACGACAACTAGAAACATTAGGGTTTAGCCGTGCGTCTTCAGACATGCATTAAAATGATTCTTTTGTTCAAAACAAGCCTATAACGTTGCAAAATTGTTCAAACTGACTGAAAATTAGTTGGTAATGTTTGACAACTTGTCTAAATAATTGCAAAATGATCTATAGTTATTCTAAGTTGTTCAAAACCATAGGAAACAACATCCAATGTCGTTCAAAACAAGTCTATAACGTTGCAAAATTTTTCAAAGTGATTAAAACTTGGTTGATAATGTTTAAAATATTGTCTAAATGATTGCAAAATGATTTGTAGCTATGCCAGAAAGCTATTTCAAGTGATGCAACTTAGTTGATATTGTCTAAATGATTACAAAATCATTTATAGCTATGCCAGGTTGTTCCAAATAATTACAAACTTGTTGGTGATCTTTGATACATTGTCTAAACGCTGGCTATAATTTTTTGCTTGTTTTCCGGTTTTACTACGTTTCATCATTTCTCGTTTTCGGTCACCAGTCTCTTCTCCTCGCTTTAATACCTTTAATACCTCATTTGCTGTAATTGTTCAACGAATTTTATATTTAACCATCACTTTCGATTTGTAAGTTATTTTTATGTTTGTTAGATTGATCTTAATCTAATTTATGTTACTTTCTAGATTTCATTGTAATTTTTAATGCCTCCTCCATTTTAAATTTTAAATTTTAACGACGCATATTTTATATTCTGGCTGTTATTTGATGATTTAAAATATTTCAACATTTCAAATTTCAAACGATTATACCTGTCAGAAAGCGAAGCCACTTTCTGACAGTGAGTATTTTATATTTTTTACATTTTTGTATAGTTTTCAGCTGAAGATGAAGTTATAAACTTCGAAACCGGTTCCGATATAAATTAAATAATCTCTGCAAGTGTAAGGTTCATAAATTCTGTTTTATTTTCATATTCAAATTTCATTTTACTTGCAACATGGGTAATTCGCATAACTTAATATCTGGTTCACAGGTATAAAAGTTATTCAAAATGATTAAAAATTGAGAAGTATCACTGAAAGCTTGTCTAAATGGTTAAAAACTAGCTGGTTAATACTGAAAACTTGCGTATATCATTGCAAATTGCTTCCTAGCCATGCCAGCTCTTTATAATTATTAAAAAACGCAACGGAGTGGATAGCATTTCGAATATGTGTGCATTAAAATGATTCTTTTGTTTTCAAAACAAACCTATAACGTTGCGGAATTGTTCAAAGTGATTACAAATTAGTTGGTAACTTGTCGAAATAATTGCAAAATGATCTATAGCTATTCCAAGTTGTTCAAAACCATATAAAACAGCATCTAATGTCGTTCAAAACAAATCTGTAACGTTGCAAAATGTTTCAAAGTGATTTAAACTTGGTTGATATTGTCTAAAATATTGTCTAAATGATTACAAAATGATTTATAGCTATGCCAGGTTGTTCTAAATAATTACAAACTTGTTGGTGATTTTTGATACAATGTCTAAATGCTTAATATTTGGTTCACAGGTATAAAAGTTATCCGAAATGATTAAAAATTGATAAGTATCACTGAAAGCTTGTCTAAATGGTTAAAAACTAGCTGGTTAATACAGAAAACTTGTGTATATCATTGCAAATTGCTTCCTAGCTATGCCAGCTCTTTATAATTATTAAAAAAACGCATAGCATTTCGAATATGTGTGCATTAAAATGATTCTTTTGTTTTTAAAATNATTGTTATTTTTATTAAAATTTGATTTTTGTTGAAAGTTTTCGAATTCTTTTCGTTTCACATATGTTTTTTATAATTTGATAGGTTGGACGATTATTTACAACAGTCCATAAAATGTTTCTGGTTACTTGACTTGGAATTAACAATTGAAGACCTCGGTATAAGAAGGGGACAACTCCTTCTCTTGATAAATGGAGCTACTCCCTTCTTGCAGCAAGGTCTTCAATTGAAGTTCAAGAAAAGTTTATTATTAAGGACTGTTCAGTTTTTTTTAAATAAACTAACAATTATTTATAAGCAAAGGTTAACGTGATCAATCAGAATTGGTTTAAATATTTTCTTCTTAGTTTATGTTAATTATAAGGATTGTGGCTAAAAATTATTAAGTTCTTTTAAAATATCGTATAATTAATAAATTATTATAATTAATAATAATTATTAATAATGTAAATTCTTGCATAAGTATAGATAAGAATTTCGAATTTCCCGCTAAGTTGGTACATCTAATGGCTGACCTTTCTGGCTTCATTTTAGGCGTGGTGGGGACAACAGCATACGCACTTTAGATTATATATAAGACCTCAATGACGCTGTCACACCGCAAGCGCTATCTAACGGTCACAGAAAAGCCGCGAAATTATTTCGTTTGAATATTTGCTATTTTTCACTTCAAATTACGCAAAATATAAAATTGATCAAAAAATGTCTCTTACTTTGTGTTCATGCATATACTTGCATATATCGTTTGACGTAAAAATTTTCTCTAAATTTAATAAGTGTGTATGACCCCATTGCCAAAGAAAACTTCAAGGTATAATTAATGTTTGTAAACAAAACTAACCTTACCCAACATTCCTTCACGCTATAATTGACATTACAAAAGAAAACTTCACGCTATAATTGCCATTACTAATTGCCAAAGAAAACTTCATGGTATAATTAATGTTTGTAAACAAAACTAACCTTACCCAACATTCCNAACAATTGAAGACCTCGGTATAAGAAGGGGACAACTCCTTCTCTTGATAAATGGAGCTACTCCCTTCTTGCAGCAAGGTCTTCAATTGAAGTTCAAGAAAAGTTTATTATTAAGGACTGTTCAGTTTTTTTTAAATAAACTAACAATTATTTATAAGCAAAGGTTAACGTGATCAATCAGAATTGGTTTAAATATTTTCTTCTTAGTTTATGTTAATTATAAGGATTGTGGCTAAAAATTATTAAGTTCTTTTAGAATATCATATAATTAATAAATTATTATAATTAATAATAATTATTTATCAATAAAAAATTAATGTTTTGTTTTGTTTATTATTTTCTGTCTTACCAGTTTATAATAATGTAAATTCTTGCATAAGTATAGATAAGAATTTCGAATTTCCCGCTAAGTTGGTACATCTAACATGGTGACCTTTCTGGCTTCATTTTAGGCGTGGTGGGGACAACAGCATACGCACTTTAGATTATATATAAGACCTCAATGACGCTGTCACACCGCAAGCGCTATCTAACGGTCACAGAAAAGCCGCGAAATTATTTCGTTTGAATATTTGCTATTTTTCACTTCAAATTACGCAAAATATAAAATTGATCAAAAAATGTCTCTTACTTTGTGTTCATGCATATACTTGCATATATCGTTTGACGTAAAAATTTTCTCTAAATTTAATAAGTGTGTATGACCCCATTGCCAAAGAAAACTTCAAGGTATAATTAATGTTTGTAAACAAAACTAACCTTACCAACATTCCTTCACGCTATAATTGACATTACAAAAAAAAACTTCACGCTATAATTGCCATTACTAATTGCCAAAGAATACTTCATGGTATAATTAATTTAGGAGTAGTAACGGTCGTTACTGTTAGGAACTAAAGTAATTTATTGCGATACACGACCAACACGACAAAGGCTAGATAATTGAACAGAGGCTTCCTTTTGTCTTTACCGAGCATTCGGAAATTTTATTTTTCCTTCTTCAGAGGAAAAATAGGAAACATTTTTTATTGAAGTGCAGAAGACATGGACTCCTTCCAACCCACATTAAAAATGGTAGCAAGAATGCTGTTGCCTTGTTGGATGAGGCAAGAGGAACCATCTCTCATAAAGTTAATGAGTTTAATATAAGGTTAGGAGCTAAGATTCTTAATTTTGAAATTCAAATTACTTGCTGTGATCTAAAAAAGGTTGATGAATCTATTGCGGAGCTAAAAAATAAATTGTACAATGTGTTACCCTCTCACATGTGTGGGGAATTTGAGATCAGATTGGCATTTTCTTATTCAAAGATTTTTAATAGAGTAAAGTGTATTAATGTTAAAAAGTTTAAAGTTTTAAAAAATAGTAATTTAAAAAATTCAAAAATGTTTGTGACACCAACACCTTAACAGTACCCAGTTGTTTTTGAAGAGGAGTTTGATCTCTACAAAAAGTTTTTTGAGTCTCGAAAGAGATTCATATATTAAGAGCAGATAAAGGACAGGTTACAGTAGCTATGTTTAAATCAG